ACACACACACACACACACACACACACACACACACACACACACACACACACACACACACACACACACACACACACACATATATATATACAATAATATAACAAAATATTATTAAAATGTTATATTATCTTTAAATAAAATTTTAATTAAACTATACAAATTCATTATAATTATTTCTGTTATGTTAACTTTTTTTTATCTTACACACAAATTAATTATAATTATATGCCATTTTTTATTATAAAACTTATACATGAATTAATATTGCACTTAAATGCACTTAAATGCACTTAAATGCACATACGTATGTTTGGCTTCTTTTATTGCTTGTTTATATTAAGACTTATGGTTAATTATGAAAAATGCGTAAGACAATATGTTAATTCAAAATAAAAATTACAAAAAGATTGCTGTCTCACACGGCGAAGACGCGTTTATTATATACAGAGTGATTAGGAACAATCGCAATCCTCAAAATTATATATTCTTAATTTAAGATGATTTTTATCTTATCAAAATTTTATCCGAAGCTTAGTTTTTAATTATAAGAAGAAATAGAATTTACCGATTGATGAATACAAAAGATAGGCAGGGGCGATATAACTTACTAAGTTTTTTTACAAATTTCAGTTATATTTAATTGAGTAATATATTTAACTGTCGAAGTAATATCGTGGGATTACTGTTTTTTGGCATCATTTTTTTATATCAAATTTTTTTATACAAATGATATATGTTATTTGGATTGAATATATAAGTGGCGTCAATAATTGATAATATTTTTAATTTTTCACGAATACATTGCGCGTATACTTGACGACTTTTTTTATCTTTTTATAAAAAGGTAATTTTGTGATATTATTCATTTTGTTGTGTTAAGCATCTTACATAACTGGCGCCAATGATTGGTAATAACATTTTAAAGAAGAAGTAATTAAAACTATTACCACTTGGATTAAAAGGAAGAATTTTTAATTGATATAAAGGTATACGTATCATTTAAGTTTCATTTTTTAAGAAGATAACACTATATTTGTAAAATAATCTTTTACAGCAATCAAAATAATATTAGCAATATGTAATTTGAAAAAAAATCTTCTTTCCATTCAAAAACAACACTTTCATATAAACATCTTTCACGTACATGTTGGGGACTTCTTTTTATTTAAAAAAAAAAAACAATTTTGTTGCGATATCACTTGTTGTGATATCACTTATTCTGTTGCGTTAAATATCACTTTTTGTTTCGTATGTTTTAAATTACATAGTTCTAAATACAAAATTGCAAGGGTTCATAGTTAATACAGTTTATGTAATTTTACAACAAATATTTTCTTGCATGTTATACAGAATCTATCGTGTAGGCTAAAAAAGGTCTTGTCATTTATTATCTTTTTATACTTTTAATTATTGCATTTATATAATTTTGTCTTTGTTCACAAATTAGCAAATTGCGATGATGGCGTATGAATGGATAAATAATGTAACTTATTATAATATTACTATTTATTATGTAAAAATATTTTATATATGTATATATATTTTGTTTAAGTATTATTTTTATTACTTTTATAATCTCAGTACAAATAATCTAGATATTATGAAGGATTAATGACGATATAATGCATATGATAATGAAATGGCTTAATGATTGTCGCGAGTTGAATCATATTTAATATGTATTTCAATCGAAGAGTGCAATAATAATAGTAAGATAGGAAGATGTAACAGAGAGTCGACTATCCCAATCATCTAAGTGAAAGTGCTTTAAACACAGTTCATGTGCTTCAACCTCCCTGAGTATATCACGAGCCGAACTCTTACCAACAGACTCAGTATCATCTTCACCATCCTTCAACTTCCTGACCCGGTTCTTTACTTAGTCTTATATTGGTTGCTGCACAGAATACATTTCAAAGATGCTTTTCAATTCTAATGTAATTTAATATGTAAACATTTATAAATAATCTCGTTGACAAATAGAGTACAGCGCGAATCTTCAAAAAGTGTACGTTTTATTTAAGGAGTTGGATAAAAATTGGTAGCAAGTTTCCAAGGTATGCATTTTCGTTGATTTAAATTTATCATCTTTTTTCCTCTTTATAATAAACTCACTTTATAATAAACTTTTTCGACAAGTTTATATAAATATGAAAATTAAAGTATAATTTTATATTACAATATTACAATATATAATATTATATAAAAGGCAATTAAATTATTTTACAATTCTGTACCATCACAAATACAAAAGGTAAGTTTGTAAATCTAATTTTTTTATTTATCTATTCATCTATTATGTTCATCTAAAACGCGAAATAGATTTGAAGATACTCGTATAGAATCGATTTAATTCATAGGGACTGAGAATCGCGCGCACGCCACACAACACACACACACACACACACACACACAACT